GCTGAACAGCCTGAGTCTCTGCATCTCTTCTGCGAGGCACAGCTAATAACAATCCTCCCGCGTGAAAAAGCAACTGTTTATTTTAACCCTTTGTTCTGTCTTCTCTCCTGTTTACTACTCCACGACCTTTCATGAAGAAACTTGGCAAAGCTCCTTCACCATTTCAGACCTGTGAGGTGTAACTTTTCTCTAAAAGCCAGGCTGACACCTCCCAGCTGTATCAGATTTATGTGTGTTCATTCTCCTCTTTATTGTAATTTCCGATCGATAATGCCTTGCTTGCACCTGAAACCTTTTTTAAAACTGATGTCATGTTCCCAAGTTTCCCATTTTTCAGGCACAGGGCCAGTTTGAGTTTACACGACTCACATGTTACAGTTAATATTTCAGCAATTTCATTTCACAGCCTCTTTAGACCTGTTGGAAGACCGCTATCCGGTCTTCAGGATGTGTTACACCTCATTGCATTGATGGGGAGAGCTGAGACTTGATGTCTTGATTATGCACAAGAGATGGTGGGTTGAGGATAGGCTGTGAATAGCCTTGAAAATGCAGAAAAATAATTCATGTGTGTTAGGATGGAGAAGGAGAATACAGTGGAAGGTGAAAGGAGATGGATGTTGTGGTAAAGGCAATGAGTCAATAAATAAATACTCCGTTTACAGAAATACTCTGAGATGTAAGAGTCCAAGGAAGGAGGGGGGGAGGTTGCAGAGAATACGGCAGCAAAATCGCTGCCTCGCCTGAAAATGGCAGTGTATGTCTTGAGTCACCAGCGATGTCCTGTGCTGGGCCTGCATGGTGGAGAGGAGAATTGGGAGACGGGGAAATTCATCATCCAAGGAGGGTGGGCAGAAGTTCTGGGGCAGGCTGAGCAGCGGTGGGTGCGTACTGTCAGCACAAAGATAGTAGCTGGGTAGTTGCGTGAACAAGGTTTGAGCGAGAAACTCAAGAGAGAGAAGAGGAGAGAACCAAGAGCCTGTTGAACCTCTAGAGGGTATGAGGAGGTGGATCCTCAGAAGTAACATGCTGAAGGAGCAGTGGGGTTGGTAGGAGGAAAACCAACCCCGGGCATGGGAGGCGGATTGAAGGAGGCCGAGGATGGAGGTGGCGGAGAAGGGCTGCAGGCAGGGATTTTTAGGCAGCGTGTTGAGTGAATTCAGAGCGGGTGAGGAGGCAGAGGGGTAACTCAAGGGATAAAAAAACAAAACGAAGTAGAAAAACAGGAGAAATGATTGTGCCCCAGGCTGGCAATAAGAGGTGGAGTGTGATGAGTGCTAATCCCGTCATCCACATGTAGGTACATGTTTGGTGTAAGATAGGGAAGGGTTGGACCGCACAAGCCTCTGTTGCGAGTTCAGCAATTCCTCCTTACTAAGAAGAAAACACTGACTTGCTTGAAACGTTTAAGAACTAATGTGTATTTTGGGGTTGCCTGTAGGCCAGGACCAGAACAGAGTGTGGCATGCAAGTTAAAGGTGATCTGCAAAGAATGAAAATGCATGTTTTATTTAACTTTTTCCATTGCAAAACCAAAATTTACAGGATTTCTGTTTCTTTATCTTCCTTTAAAAACCAGAAACCTCAAGATTATCTTGTTTGGCTCTTTCCTACTTGCAGATCTCCTTGGAGAATGCAGAGTGAAGTGTGGGCTGTTTAGCTCTTAGTTGCTAAAAATGCAATTCTAACAAAAAAGTCTGTTTCCTAAAACAGCTTGTGGGGTGTTTGAGTTCAATATGTGTCCCAGGCTGCCACTTCCATCCCAAACAGAGAATTCTGGATGGGCAAAATAAATGTCTTATTCTCACAAGCAGTTATTACACATAATTTTCTTGGGATCAGTACTACCAAAGCTCTAATTATGTAGTTATCCGAAGCAATTGCTGGGGAAGAAGGATAGACAAGGGCTGCATGTAAAAACTGCGTACAGAGTCTGGGAGGAAGGAAGGTCTTTGTCTCTGCTGCTTATCCTTGTAAGCTTGTGATCAGTGGACTTGTCCCTGGGGCCAATGAGTTTGATCACTGCAGACTGCGGGTGGGGAGCAGCTGTCCCGAGTTCTCCGAGAAGAAAGAACAACCCAGTACTTGTGAACAACTCTGATTTAATTTGGGGAAGGTTATGCCTGTCTCAGATAGGAAAACATGGTAGAGAGCCCATCGCAGAGATGGCCCCGAGTCCTGTGCAGCAGTACTCGCAGAGGCGCTGGGTCTGTAGCCACAGCTACAGTGGCGTATGCCACACGTGTATCTTCCCCGCCGACGCTGAGGACCAGCGCCTGTCCGGCCGGAGGTCGTGGTGTGTCCGTAGGATACGGGGAGAGCCAGCTGCACTGGTGGTGGAAGTTGACCGACACAGATATCCGGTCTCCTTCACTTCACCAACTCAAACACGACTCATCCCACCTGGGTGACAGCCTTGCCGTCAAAATAGCTGTGCCGATGCTCCGTTGTGCCTCTCTCAGCTTCTCCTGTCCCATTTGTGTGTCTGGCCAGTATTTCCATTAGGAAGGCCATGGTGGGATTGAGACGTGTCTTTTGAATGCCTCAGTGCAGAGGGTGTCCGGGCACAGGCTGCCCAGAGCTCAGCAGCTCCTGATGGTCGCTACCCATGTTGATTTGGTTTTGTCAGGGTTTTTTTGGTTTTGGTTTTTTTTTTTTTTCCCGCTAGAAATTGGAAAAATAGTAAAGGCTATGGATTATAGGGGCCACAAAGGGTAAAGGCGAGAAGGAAACAGTGCTAACAGTGCTGTGGCTGTCCAGTCTCTGCCACCTCCTGGTGTTCCCCACCCACCCCTGGGCTCCTGCGGCTCCGCAGGAACCGAGAGGTGAGGAGTGGGGAGAAACTTGGCTCCTTGGCATGTGCTTGGTGCCACAGAGCTGTACTGCTGCTCTGGGAGTCATCCCGGCTCCTGCCTGGGCTGTCCCCCGGAGCTCTGGGACAACTTGGACAATCAGCCCTGTTACTCCATGTCCCAACACTTCCCTTGGGGACACCATCGGTGTGTGGCTGTGCCAGCCAGGCTCTTGCAGAACTACAGATGTCAGCCACCAATTCTGCACAAAACCATGTTTTGCACAGATTCACCACTTTGCAGTTGCTGGTAGCTTCATGACTTACTCTTGATAATTTTCCTAGCAGGGTAAGGAGTCATCTAAGATGCTTTTAACATGTCTGTTCTCTATTGCAGCCTGGGACAATAGAGTTGGACCCCAAGCAGGAGAGCAGCAGCCAGCCTGGCAGCTGCGTAGGATATAATTTTCCTTACAATACTCTGCGGAAGCCCATCTCTCAGAGCAGCATGGCAGACTGGGCTTCTAAAAACCTGAACATGCACACACAGGGCATCTTCCGCCGAAGGATCTCCATCTCCAACATGCTGTCCTGGAATGGTGGCTCTATCAAAAAGCCAATGCTCATCACCAGCAACCGCACCATCAAAAAAGAGGCATGTGAGATGTTCAAACTGGTGCAGAGCTACATGGGAGATCGTCAGACTCGCATGGACCGGAATCATGTGGCGTTGGTCACGGTCACCAAGTGCTGGAGCATGCAAGGTTTACGGGATGAGCTCTACATACAACTGATCCGGCAGACAACGGATAATACATGCTACCGAAGTCTGGCATGGGGCTGGGAACTGATGGCCATCAGTCTGGCCTTTTTCTCCCCATCCCCCAAATTCCAGTCTTATCTGGAAGGTTACATTTATCGCCACCTTGACAGTGATGAAAACAGTAAGTGCCTCATGCACACCCACTCTGTCCCCAGCAGCATTCTGGTGGGTTGTGCCACTTATTCAGGGTTGTCTGGTTTTAAAAACAACAGGTAGTCACCAGCCAGTGCTGTGGTTTCTGTCAGTGAGGGCACCATGTGCTGGGCGAGTTCGTCATTCCTTGGCAGGATGAAGCTGCCACCAGCTCATCTCCCTGCAATTCTCGCTTCTGTCTGGCAAAGGAATGCCAGCCCTAGACTGTGCTCATCTCACCAATCAGCACGGCAAGATCAGCACTGAAAATTGCTGATTTGGACCTGCCAAGGGCAGAGTTTCTTTGGGTTCTCTGAAGACATGATTTACTTCAAAGTTCCTTAAAGCAGGCAAAAAAAAGAGATGGATGTTAATACAGAACTTTTTAAGGGAGCCATTGCAAACATTACGAACAGGGCTGGCAAACAGTCAGGGATCCTGAAGGATGCTGGCTTTTGTTGTGAATAGATGCAATTTATCTGTCTTTCAGAAGCCTTGGGAACCAGCCCAGCATATATTTAGTTATTACCCCAATTTTAATTGTTATAGCATCCTGTGCAAAAAAAAAAAAAAAAAGAAAGCCAAGTGCCAACCTGGAGAGTATTTATTGGCTGATTCGTCACTATTTCAGCAGTGCTCGCCGTGTCTTGTCCAGTCTCAGGAGGGAAACCAGAGCACCTGTTTCCACTTGGGGCTTCAAACGCAGGTTAAAGCGCCCACAGAGCTCCGGGGCCAGTGCAGAACTTCTGCCCTGGCACCTCTCTACCCCTGCTAGCGAGTGCGGCGGTGGAGGTGGGTCCTAGGGACGGCAGCGGTGCAATGCCAACCTTTGCCCTCTTGTTTGATGCTTGTAGCCTTAACGTAGGGTTCCTTCACTGAACTGCTGGATGTGCAGCACTGGTTTTGGTTTTCATGAGGATCCCAGACCCTTGTCACTTCTCCCCAAAACCATTCCCTCCAGCTACACTTGGCCCAGGAGTGAAAAATCACCCTGCCAGCAGCAGGGTCCAGGCAGCAAGGAGGAGGAAGCTGAACCATTTGAGTGGGTTGTTCCTTCGGCTGGTATTTAGGCAGTATGTTTATTTAGGGATAAGCTTGCTGCCTGGAGCCCCTTCTCAACTATTTGGCCATTTGGAGAAGTTGAGTGATGTCTGGGCCCCTCACTCAGGTGTGTTTGGAGCTGGCTGTGGTACAGCACCTTTCCCTGAGCAGCCCTCCTCATGCTGGAGTTAGGCTGTCTAAGGGCAGTTCTGGGCTTTCGTATTTTATCATTCCACATTATTAACCCAGAGCCTCTTGAATTTTCAGTTGCCCAGCGCATCAAGGAGCTTGTGGATCTGAAAAACAAGAAGAACTCAAAATCCAGGAAAAAGAGGAAACAAAACACCGAGGATGAAGGTAAAGGGAGGCACAGCGTGCAGGGAGCCAAGAGAGAGGACTGCATTGACCTCAGGCAGGCGGGGGTGCTGAGCTGCACTGAAAATCAGACCATTTCTTTAAGCACATAGACTTTGTTTTGGGAAACTTTACTGCAGGTGGCCGGTGTGAGAGGTTTGACCAGAGCATGGATCAGCAGTGTGGGTGGGAGCTGGGCAGCACACGGGACGGGTAGCAGTGTGGTGGCAGCGGGGGGCCGCTTTCACTCACAGTTGTGTAAGAAGAGGGATTTTAATTTGGAGGCAGACCTGGGGCTGTAATTCAACTGGTCCATGTGTGCCACGGGGTTTCCTATAGCGCATTCCAGTGGTAAAAGCCGTACAAGCCAGCGTGTTGAAAAGAACCTGTGTAAATTGTAGTAGTAGTTCTGGGAGGACACTGATAACTGGCAAAGAGCACTGCCTTTTTCTCTCCATATTGGCTTCTTCTTGTCCACGCTTCCTGGACACTGCAGCCCAGGGCTTGCAATGGCATCTCTGCTGAGTGAACAAGAGCTTACGTATTCCTCCAGCCTCAGGTTTTAACCTCTGGCTGCAGGATACTGCTTTACCTGGCTAAAGTCTTGCTAGACAAAGTCCATTCAAATATTTTTTTGTATTGCTTTCAGGAAACTTGAACCAACCCTGTGAATTCATATCAGGCAGCACTTTGTATCACGTGGCCTTGGTGGTTTTAATCTGTCTGGGAGAGCTGGAGTCCAGCTTCCTGCATTGCTGAGCCCCACCTGATGCCAGCAGGCAGGCGTGTGAAACGCAGACACCGCAGCTGCGCTCTCCTGCGGTGGCTTCCCTGCGTCACTGCTCCCCCGAGGCAGCTGCAGCCTGGGAAGGGGCTGAGGAGGCCCCTTGGTCGCAGCCCCTGCAGTAAGAGCATCTATTGCTTCTCTGTCTCCAGTAGGATTCGGAGCAGAGACCTGAAATTACACAGAGGGATTATATTTCTGGTAGGGATATGTCTTTTTCCTTTCCTGTTCAGGCCCAGGAGAGTTCAGCCCATTCTGAGCCTTCAAAAAGTCATTTTGCTTGTGCTCAGAGGGACTTTGATACCTTTATGGGACAACTCCCCGGAGATTGCTCTGCGCAGGGTGTGCGCTGTCTGTGGGCTGAGCAGCCTCTTCCGTGCAATTGCTTGTCTGTGTTGCGTGTGCTGGAGTTGTGGTTAGGAAGATGGAGGTAGTTCTTACCTAAAAATAAAAAAAACCCTTAAAAAAATATTTTTTTTATGTATATAAAAAACGTTATGAAAAAGGCATGCCAGGATAGCTTTATAAAGTTTCCAGAATGAAGCGCTTGAAGTTCCGAAGTGCCTGTGTGGCCTCAGCTGGGGCTCTGGTGACAGGTCACACGCTGTTCCCTTTGCCTGGACCTCTGTTTTCTGGCACACAGAAGACCTGCTCTGGCAGTGAACTGCAGCTTTAGAATAAACGAGCTGGTCTGAAGGCTGCTGCTGGCTTCTGCAAAGATGCCGAGGGGTGTAGCAAAGGATGCAGGGGGGCCGGCAGGTCACTGGAACCAGCTTTTTTGCAAGTGACCGATAACACTGAGGATTTTTTCTGGGGTCTGACCTCAGAGCTGCACCTGAAGTAAGGGGGGATCCTGCAGGAACGTGCCAGGCGCTGTCTGCTGCTGGCTGTTTCCAGGTCAGGCTTTTCCTCGGGACGCCTACATCTGCTCCATCGGCCCCGCTTGCCAGACGTGTGAGGGGTGGGCAGGACACAGCTCCCTGAAGTTGCAAGGCTGTTGTGAGAAGAAGTTAATTAGTAGCACTGAAATACTTCAATGCTTATGGATGCTGTAGCAGCAATTTAGCCGAGAAATCCATAGGAAATTAAATGTACTGTCTTCAAACAGAACTGAATAGTAGATATGTAGGCATGTACATAAGTCTTTCTGTGAAAAATGGAGTTAAAGCAGTGATTTCACACACACTCTTCCTTCAGTGCAGAGGCTTGTAAGTAAACGCTTGGGTGAGTAAACATTTATCATCTGACATGCACCCAAAGAAATAATTTTGAAGTTTCCCATGCTTACCTCTGCAGTCTTCGTCTTCTAGTATAATTCTCTGTGAGTAAATGAAATATGAAGGTGGTGCAAGGTCTCTTCATGGATCAATAACCCATGGAAAGGCAGAAGAATAAAATAAATGACGTGTTTTCAGAAGGAGGATTGTCTGCTGATCCTGCAGGAATGTAAGCTCGCTTTGGGTCTATACAAGGAGGCAAATAATGAGCTGGCAGCTCTGTGTTGGTACAAAATTATTCAGGATTGTGAAAACTAAAGATGCAGAGTGATCTCGCAAGGGTGGGTAACTGACCGATCAGAACAGAGGAAATTGTGTCAACAAAAGCAAAGTATTGTACTTGGGGGAGACGACCCTAACTGCACGTGCAGCAGCAGGCTCCTGTGTAGCTGTTTCAAGGAGGGAAAGACATTCTGCAGCCCGTATATGAATTTCCAGAAATGTATACACAATGCTGGGAAGCGGTCAGAAACCAAAGAGAGGATCGGGAGCTTGTAGAAAAGGGACAGAGAGCAAACCAGCGCTCGGACAGAGTCATGCTGTGCCCGCTCCGCGTGTCCTGCCCGTGGTCCCTCCAGGGCTGATGAGTGCGGCAGGGGAAGCCGGGAGATGGACTTGGAGGAGAGAAGAGGGGAGAAGGTCGGTGGGCTGAAGGAAGCTGCAGGTTGCCTAGGAAGAGTGAGAGGAAGAAAACTTCTTGTCGTTTGTCATAGAAGAAGAATTGGAAACCGCCTGGTTTTGTTGTTGGGCAGCAGGCTTAAGAGCGCTCTGTCCTGAAGCACAAAATTAGACCATTAAGAGTCGGCAGAGCAGGGTGTTGTGCAGGTTAGGAGCGTGACCAGTTGTGGTGGGCTGAGCTTGGCTGGGCACCGGGTGCCACAAAGCCACTGTGTCGCTCCCCTCCTCAGCAGGACAGGGCAGGGGGGGTGAGCGGGTAGAAAATGAGATGGGGAAAAAAAAAAAATCGTGGGTCAAGATAAAGGCAGTTTAATAAAAGCAAAAGCAAAGGCCGCAAAAGGAAAACAAGGATTTTATTCTCTACTTCCCATCAGCAGGCGATACTCAGCCGCTTCCTGGGAAGCAGGGCTTCGGTATGTGTAGCGGTTGCTCCGGAAGACAAATGTCGTAAATAACGAATGCCCCCCGTTACTGCTCCTTTCTCTTAGCTTTTATTGCTGAGCTGACGTCATCCGGTATGGAATATCCCTCTGGTCAGTTTGGGTGGCTGTCCTGGCCGAGTGCCCTCCCCAGATCCTGCCCACCCCCAGCCCGCGGGTGACGGGGAGATGGGGAGCGCCTTGATGCTGTGCCAGCACTGCTCACCAGCAGCCAAAACGCTGGTGTGTTATCGACACCTTTCCAGCTGCCAGTACCAAGCCCAGCACTGTGAGGGCTGTGAGGAGAGTTAACTCCATCTCAGCCAGACCCAGCGCAACAGGCTTAGGAAGAAGTGGGACAGATTCAAAGAAGGGCGGTCTGCCACTTGATGGTTAATGGTCCAGGTGCAACACTGCCTCAGCGTATCTCCTACCTGCTGTTCCCCGGGAGGTTTTCGAAGGAGGATACTCATTTTTCAGACATCCTGTATGTGTTTCTTATCCTCCTGGTGGCAGATGCAGGCTGCTGACTCACACGGCCCTTTGGGCTGACGAAGCACGGCATTTCCCACGTAGGGAGTGGTGATGGAGCATTGCTGGGATGCACTGGTGGTGTGAGGAAGAGGGGCTAAAACACTGCCATAAAATGGAGGTGCCTGGGCGAATCAAAGCCAGGAGGGCGGCACCGGTGCAAAGCCCCG